AACACTTTTTGTTGTGAGTTATTAAACCGGACTGGTTTAGGACAATGTGTAATGCAAGCATCTACAAAACTGTGCTGGGCCTTTTTTGAATTTTTTACTTTTTTTCGAAAATAAATGACTTTTTCAACTAGACCCAGTCCCCCAAAGCAATTGTATCCCATCTTAACGCCTTCGATTTTAAATATCTAAAAAAGGCCAAGCACGGAAGTGATATATTAAAAGGGCTTAACATTATGCAACCCTTAAAATAATTGAGAACACACAAAAAAGTGTTACCGTTTCAAGAACAAGCTTTTTCAGCCGATGGAGGTCACCTAATTTGCATAATTTTACAGCACGAAATTGACACAAACTGAAAATGTGGTAGCTGGCAAAGTTCTATGACTCTTCATCTAAAGCTCTTAGATATAGACCACCCCCTCAGTTTTGAAGAGAGGAAATTAAGGCAAATTGAGGCCCATGCCTTAAGTTACCTGAGTTGTCCATTTACTCCTGCTTATCCCGGAAATCCCTAAAAGGGCCCATTTAAGGAGCACAAGGTCTAGCTGTTTTCTAGTCGGCAAATAGTCTCTTGACTAAGACACGTGATATGTTCATCAAAGGATGCGCAGGTTATTAAAGCAAGTACATTCTGTTTTTGGAATCCGATGCTATAAAAGCTAATCCTGGATATATGTTTACTTAATCCCTTAATCTCCTAGAATAGATAAGTCCTAATAATCAGGTATTATTTTTTTTCTTTTTTTAAATTAAGGACAGAATGGTAAGAAAACACAAGCCATTCATTGTCCATTCATTTGTCAGGAAATGAGTTTCAGCAAATTTCAAACAAATAACTTGAGGAACACTTGACTGATCAGTGTCCTAAAATACTTGAAAAAGGTTTTCAGACCGCCAAAACATTCTGTAGCTGAACCGTTTGGCAATAAACCTTTGCTTTTCCAACGTCACGTTGCTGGTAAAAATGAAGTTCTGTTTTTTTTTGTTTCAAAAAATGCCATCTGCCACAAAATAGTGGACATCGTTAAATTTCACCAGCATTTTGTGCAGCGAGTTCTACGGTCACGATTGCCTTCAAACTTGCAGATGTAAAACTAAAGAGCTCTGATCGAGGTTTTTTTTGCTGAAGTTAGGTAAAAATCTGTCGTGGGATTTCGAAGTTATTTGTATTTTTAGTAAAAATGCCGTTTTAAATATATGTCGATATCTCAAAGGTTTTTATACTTACAAAATAATAAATAACATTTTCTTAAAGTTCCATTATTGTTTATTAAGGATGCCAAAAATCATAGAAACTGGTTGAACCTTTCATTCGGAAAAACGCAAATCAAAAACATAACCAACACGCATATAAATAGGTTCGGGGCGCCTTAAAGAGAAATAAGTTTTACTTAATTCTTGTAAATGAACCCTGTGCACCTGGTATGAAGGGTACCTGACAGGAAGGCAAGCAGTGTGGCAGTGCATTATTGAAAACAGAGGAAATTAGTCTTCTAGTGTATTACAGTGTACCCTCTTTGTTTCCAAGGTCCTAATTCGTGCGGCTTGCCTTTGGAGTTTTGTCACCACAGGGTAACCAATCTGTTGCTCTTCATTATCATTCAAGACTTTTTATAATGCGAAACAACCAGACTTGCTTAGAATATGATCTAAAATTAAACAAATACAGAAGGCACAAATTAAAAATGTGTGCACAATACAACAATTAAAATGTCAAATTTGAGAAGCCAACTGTCAAGTCTGTTTACATATCAGAAAATCATTTTATGTGAATTATTTTCTAGTTCCTGGGAAGTCCGCACCTTTCAATCAATTTTTTGAAACCTTATCAAGTCAACGAGAGGCTGCTTCAAGCAAATAATGCAGAACTGAATGTTGTGATGGCGACTGATAAATTCTCTCTTAACAACACTGAATAAAAGTTTGCTGACCTTTCCGGAAACCAACTTTCGATTAACTTCAAACGTTTAGTTGGTCTAGAAATAACTTTGGTGACTTTCACATATCCCAAGAGCTAGACTCGGACTATTCTCTTGTTGGCATCTTCGATTCACTAGGCTCTTCTTACGGACGTTCTGCAAGTTAATTTTTTTATCTCCTTCTTGATATCCCGCTTGAAGAAAGCGTAAGCCAATGGGTTTACAGCAGAGTTCAAAATTACTGTAAAAAGAGCAATTCTCTGAATATAACCATCGCATTCATCGGTTATAAATTTTAGAACACAGCCGATATAAATTGCACAATAAACAAGAAACAAAGCAACGACAATGCTCATCATTATCAATGCAGACTTCTCTCGCCTGTTGTTTAATGGTCGCTGTCTACCGAGGACATGTGCTTCTCTGTGTTGCTTATAAATTACCCGTAACATTGATGCAAAGCAAAAAAATATCAGTACACATGGGAAGGCATGAAATATGATAATAACTAGCCACCGGAAAGTGTCGACGACGAGGGGTCCTCTTGACTTAACCCACAGGAACGATTGTAGCAAAATGAAAGCTGCTGCGGCCCCCCATGAGAAGGAAATGAGTTGGATAACGCGACTTGAAGTCATAAACCGCAAGTATTTTAGAGGTTTCACGACAGCTAAGTAGCGATCCAGGACTAGACTGCACATACACAAAATTGATGCATCCTGAAAAAGCCACCTCAACCGTAAGATGATATACAAGCCTTTATCTAAAACTTTGGGGTAACTGGGACCGATTACCTCTAAGGAAAACATCAAGGGAATCAAGTGTAAGCCGACAAGAAAGTCCGCCACTGCGAGAGAAACAATCAAAGCGTTGGTTTTGGTTCTGAGATGTCGTTTGCTGTAGACCAGAAGGATGACAAACCCATTGCCAATCACCGTTAGAATGGAAACAAACCATCCAAGAATCCAAAGCCACAAGAATTCCATCTTCATATTAGCCGTTCATCGTCCCTTCAGTTGTCTGGAAATGAGATTCAAGTAATTTCAATCTAACAACCTTATGAGCAGTTGTTCAGTTTGCTGAAATGTTTATATATTAAGGCTTTCAAATTTCCAAACCATTTTGTAGGTAAGTTGATTTGGGAGAAATAGCAATGAAAATAAATTAAAGATGTCCGTGAAGGCGTGCCTTTGATGTCCGAAGGTCACGTGGATGGAATTTTCTTTTTTAACTCGTGGGTACGCCGAGCGTACCACGAGTTATTGCAGGGACGGAGATATGCAAATGAGTCACTAATTAATCGGGTCCGAACTAGAGAGTGCGAAGATCTATCGTTTCCGAAGAAGCACGCGCTCTCCGAAGTTCGGTGGGATCAAATTCTTCGCTGAGAGCGTGCATCGTTCGGCATGGTTCGGCGTTCGCTGCTCAGACTCAGAGTTTTCTTTGTTTCAAATTTTCTACAACACGGTTAGAGGTCTTACCCAGGGGGCCCCCCTGGTTTTACCAAATTTAAGGCACGTAGGAGTCTTTCAAATGAGTACGATGGATTTCAAGAGCCTTTGACTCGTCCAGCCGTTAAACTTGACGA